CGCTTTATGGGCAGCCTTCCAAAACAACATCAGCAATACTTTAGTATTTGCTGACTTCTTCATAAAGCCCTTGAAGTTCTCTCACATATGTCGCATGTAGAATGATGGAAAAATATGTGGGAAAGCATTTCTCTATTACTTCTTACAGGCTTTTCTATCGATCTGATATAATTGTTAAGGCAGGCATATAAGAATACTCATTCAATATCTCACCCAATATACTTAAGAACTAATACCAACTCTGGTAATCACCTTCTCGACTACTGCAAATGCCAATGGGAAGAGCCCATTATTTGCATCTAGGGCGATGATGAACAATAATATGCCTTGATACTTTCTTTTTAAGAATGTCCCATCAATATCAATTAGTGGCCTGCATCCATTAACAAAACCCACAATGCATGGACGATAAGCAATAAATAGTCATTTGAACATGCCTTCATTTATGTGGATGCGACCTTCTATTCCCTGGTTTGTTCTTCAGATCTACTCCATATAAAAGGGGATGTCATGGTATTGTTGTTCATGTGATCCATCTATCATCTATCTAGCAACATCTTTTCCCCGCCAAGCTTGCATGTAAGAAAGCCTGACACCATGATCGCGTTGGACATTCTTTACGATGTTTTTCGCTCTAATTTTTGGTTGGTCAATAAGGCGGCCTTTAATCTTTTTTTCCACCCAATCATTACGAACTAATGGATGATGGATCCTCCCCATTAGACCACCACATATGTGCTCCTTAACCATAGACTTCACTTTAAAGTATGTGGTACTGCCAACTCGTAAGCACTGCACTTATCATGTACACCCTCTGCCTTGCAACTTGCCCACACCCGTCCCAATTCACCTTTGTCAAACTGCAAAACAAAATTATTGTGGATTGCAAAATCAACTAGATGTCAGCATTCATTGATATTTTCAAAAATTTACCCAATATTCAATTGAACCTCGTTACCAACTCCTTTACATGAGCTCTCTGGTGGTTCAATATCTTCCATATCATGCTCTAGTACAAGCTCAGGGTCGGGCACCACTTGAATGTTTTGATCTTGATCAAGTAAAGCGTTACGCCAACTGTTGACAAAAGATAGAGTGTAAGATGAAGTAACAATTTATGCACATAAAAGATTAAAATAAAACAATTTACAGATGAAAAAGTAAATTACAGATATACCTATTCCTTAAAGATGGGCCATCAGCAACAGATTCTCGTGCTGACTCCATTGTAGCGGTAATATATACAACAATTCTCGAAGATTCTCCTTCCAACATAAAAGATACATTTATATCATCACTTGCATCAATCAATTCAAGCCCACTAGGTAGACTTGTGTTGTAGTACATAATAGCTAATAGCTAATTTGTTGGATCACACATGATTAAAATACCAAAATAACTTTTTAGTTCGTCCAATGAACTATTTCCATTATACTTCGTGACCTTCAATTTTCTCCCTTCATAAATAACATGTTCATCATCTGCATTCGTCTCAAATGACCCCCCATATTGGAATACCAGTTGCACTCCCTCGGTAACTTTCGTCAATACTATTGTATTAAATGAATAGCAAAATTTGTGTTACAAAAAATCAATACAATAAGGAATACAAAAAATTTGGATATTTCTAACTACTTTAGGGTTCATAAAATGTCAGTAATACATATTAGATTGAAATAGTGTACTACTAAGAAAAGTCAAGTAATCAATAAACAAAAAAAAACAATAAATACTTAAATAAACACAAAATAAACAATAAATATTAATACAAACAAATAAGTTGAACAATATTTAGCCAAAACAATGAATACAATGTATCAACATAATACAAACAACAAATATTAATACAACCAACAAATAATTATACAAACAAACAACTTCAACAATATTTAACGAATTTTATTTATTAATCAACAATACACAAAAACTACTAATAAAAAAATATAATATTGTATTAATTGTGACAAAATAAACAAAAGTTAATCAACAGTATAAGCAAAAGTAAGAACGTTACCAATCACGACCAAATAGTGAGTCAATCTCTTCAACTTTGTGGGATACTGTATTGGGGAGACAGTAAAGGAGGTATGATACACGTATGATATTGTATTTTGTTCGTTTTCCCCCAATTTTATAAAAAAAAGCATAAACATTCCGCTAAGACACGAGAAGTTTTAGCACAAAATTTTTCTGTTAATCCAAACTGAAAATCGCTAAATTTCGGTTGTTAAACAACCGAATTCAACATATTTTCGGTTGTTGTCGAAAATACATTGAATTTAGATGTTGAACCTCAGAAAAAGCCTTTAATTCGAATGTTAAACACCGTCTTTTTAAAAACATTACATTATGAAAGGTAAACAATGGACAAACATGTAATAACAGAAACTTTTTGGTACATCCGTAATAACACAAAATATAACAGATATTTATGTAATTTTCCTTTGCAAATATAATATTTCCATTTCCAGTGGACTGGCTGGTCCACCAATTCAAGGCCAGTTTGATGGCTATTCCGATCTAGGGGTTCAAAGAGACCGGAATGCCGACTAGTTCACCGGTTTTGAATAAGAACCAACTTGTTAGGTCCAATTGAGACAATATTAATTGCATAATTTTAAATACTAATTTAGTTGCCTAGTAGATAATTGAAAAATGAGTGACCTTATTAACTTTATTTGTGATTTAAAATATTTATAAATTAAAAGTTGGTTTTTTATATCAATTAATAATATTTCTCAATTATAAATTTAAATTTATAAATTAATTCGAGAAGTTTTGCTTTGGACTTTGTGTCTAAACAATGACACACTATCAACCACCCGATTTTAAATCTAACTGTTAATGATGATTATGATATCTTTGTATCAAAAGTAAATGATCTCATTTTATACATTTTCATATATAAAATAATTTAGATAGATATACCATGCAATAAAAATTCATTTTTTCACTGTCGTACATGAGAGAGGGGAGATTACAAACAATATCCTAAGTTAGATAAGAAAGTCAATGTCTTACAGTTTATCACTATATGGGGCACATCATTGAACCTAGTAGCAGTAGCAAATGCCTCCTCATTTATATGGTCTTGCACTAAAACTGCAACCATAAGTGTTAGGCATCCCGCATCTCGCGTTCACAAAGCTTACTCCTAATAAATATTTTGTGTCGGATGAGGTTATAATCATTCTTGTCTTTTAGAATATTTTGTGTCGGATGAGGTTATAATCATTCTTGTCCTTTAGATTTTAAATCGAGTAGTTGTAAAGTAAAAGAAAGATTTCTATACTTCCTCTATAACATAGAATATATATACTCTTCCCATCCAGCTGTCCAGTTTAGATAAAATGTTATTGATCTAGATCCAACGCTTCTGAGTATTTTATTTTTAATTTTTTTTTATAAAATATGAATTTTAGTATGTGCCATCTTGTCATTGGGCACATCTAAAACAAATATTAAAAGAATTTTTTGATAAATATAATGACCAAATTACCCCTTAAAACGTTCAGGGGTATTTTGGTTATTTTATTTTATTAGAAATATTTGTTTTATATTTTTTATACGAGTGCAAGTTTAAGAGAGGAGTGGACGCCCAAAATTTGGGGTCAAAATATTTTGTAACAAAATAAAAATAAAATAGTGTAGAGATGTGACATTGTGATTAGGGCCATCTCAATTGTCCATTCAAAATAGACGGTTGGATAGAGGAAGTATATAAGTTTTATGCAGTAGAAAAAAGATATAAGGAAGAAATTTATATAAAGTTGTAACCTTAAAATATAGAATTAAAGATGCACCTCAAAAGTCTATCGGAAAATGTTGTTTTGATGTTGAAAAGCTCTCTAATTGATCATCTCAACATCAAGATGTATAAATATGAAAATTTTATATATATTGAGCTTCATAAATAGTACATCTTGCAACGCATTATCTAGATTGTCCATTTTCAATATTTTCAGATCTTTATAGATCCACTTAAGTTTAATTATTTTTGGAGTTTAAAATTTTATAATTAGATATGAAAATAGATTTTGTGATAATCCTAATAATGTTTTACACCAAAATTATATGTCCTAATAAAATTTGGAGGTGCACCTTAATTGGATTGTTTAAGGTTGCAACTTTATAAAAACCACACCCAAGATAGAAAGCTTGCCCTTTACTATGTACCAAGCCATTGTTTCAATTATTCTAGGTAACACTCCAAGGAAAGCTTTCTACTTTCCCCCTACAACATAGAAGTTCTATCCTCCCCTGTATCCAACCGTTCATTTTTTAATGGAGGGCTAATATTGCCCCAATCACAATGTCAAATCTCTACACTATTTAATTTTAAATTTTGTTCTATAAACTATTTTGTAACCAAATTTTAAACGTCCATTCCTCTATTTAACTCGCACTAACGAAAAGTATAAAAAAAAAATATTTTTGATAAAGTAAAATGACCAAAATACCCCTAAACGTTTCAAGGGGTATGTTGGTCATCATTTTTATCGAAAAAATATTATTAATATTTTTTATAGGTGTGGCCCAATGAGAAGATGGCACATACCAAATTTCATATTCAGAAAAAATTATATTAAAGAAAACTAAAAATAAAATACTTTGAGACGTCAGATTTAAAATCAAACGGTAAGTGACTCTCGATAAAAAATGGACGGCTAGATGGTAGAAGAAAGATAGAACTTCTATGTTGTAAGAGGAGCATAGAAAGCTTTCCCAACACTATTTTGGCCACCCACAATGTTGGGTGAATAATAAAATCGAGTGGCTGAATCTCTGCTCGTCCCCTTACAAGAAAACCTAGAGAGAGAGAGAGAGAGAGAGAGAGAGATCAGAGACAAAATATGTTGTCATTCATGTACTACAATTTTGGTGGTTTAGTTACTTTAAACCATTAGTTATTCTTCCAATATAATTTCTGTGCATGCAGGCAAGTGCACACACAACTAAAAAACAGAAATTTATTTGGGAAAGTACTTTAAATTCAGATTTATAAGGGAAATTTTTACTCGATATCCAGGAAAATGCATAAACATACATATCTGGTTTCTCATAAGACAAGAAACGCACCCTACCCTTTTCTTGCTTAGACAAAAATGAACGCTACCAAGAGCCCAGCTTCAATCTACATGAATTTGGAGGACCTCCTGAATTCAACAATTAAATCAAGCTCCCCTCCATCATATTATTCGCTCTCTTCGTGTAAAACGTTAAGTTGTGCATTTTGAATGCTCAAATGGTTGAACAAATAAGGAAAATCCACAAAACCTCAAACTTGAGCTACCAAGGACAATGAATGGACAAAATTAAAATCACTTTATCCCATGAAAGGAAGGCAAGACAGCAATGAGAGGATCCCCATAACCAACAGCTTCTGCAAAAGATCACCAGCCAACATTAGCTAAAGCCCTTTATTTAGTACCAAGAAATTGGAGAGAGAGAGAGAGACCTTGTAAGAGAAAGTCAAGAGCGGTTAGAGTAGGGTCGAAAATTTGATAATGTTGCAAGACTTACCGCCGTCCCTGAACAAAATCTTAAGAACTTCTCCTGCCACATCCGACTGTTTGCCAAATTCCAAAAAGGAAGAGAAATCAATCATTAATCTGCCTGTATGAAGATTGAATCACAACAATCGGAGGAAGAGAGAGATAGAGAGAGAGAGATTACTTTGACAGGTAGCTCACTGCCGAACTGATCCAAGTATCCGATGATTTGATCTTCTTTGATGACATCTCCCTATTCATAAATGAATACAAATTTTTGAAAATGAGATCATAACAGCTGTAAGCAAAATATCTCTACAAAATAAGGTTTTCCTACAAATAATATATATTTCCCTAGTGTTCAACCAAAAAATCCTGAACACCTCCAACTGAAACATGAGAAAAAATGACCGACCTCCTTAGCAACTGGAGGTTGCCTCTTTCCTTTCACAGTTCTTCCAGTTCGGAATTTCCCAACCTGAAATTACAAAACCAACACAGATACAAGACATAAAATTACAATGGAAAGAGAGTGACAATTTTTTTCTTTGAAAATTTAATTATCTAATTGATCATACAGTTGGAGAAGCCACTATAACATATGCATTTGCTCCATCACTGTCTAGACTCGCTAACTTTGACGCTTTCGCGGAAACATTAGAGAATGGACTGGAAGCAACTGGAGGGGCTTTTTGTGTGACAGATGGAGCAGTCGCAGGAGCCGATTCAACCATGGGTTTTGTTGGAACAGGTGGAGGAGTTGAAGGTGACACAATAGGGGAAGGAGCAGGAGCTTTTGTATTTCCAATGTTCCGCCTCAGGTGCATTTCAAAGTCTCCAACCTGCACGGAAGTTAGGTATTGTGAATGCTCAGAAAATGGACATATTCTCCATGATGTGCATATGATGTTGTAGGACATGTTAATGATAAGTCTAAAATGTAATTTAGAATTTTAGATCAGGGATACATCCATACTTGGCACATGAAGCAAACCTTTTTATTTTTCAATTAGGTGACACCAATTGGTGGATTGTCTGAGAAAAGTCAAATAACTTTCAGTCATAATACAAAAATCCCAATATGACAACTTAAATTTTCGTGGGGTTAGCAACTTGCACTAAATTTTCGTGCATCTTGCACAAGTTCATAACTAGTGTTTTGTCCTTTTGCTGTAGAAAGTGATTGTTTCTTATTCATGAAAAGACAAATCATTTAATTGCGATTCCACATAATGGTTGGAAAAACCTAAATATATGAAGTCAAGAAATGTTGATTCTGACACACACACACACCATCAAAATCTGTATATACATACTCAGATGTTTGTATGCACACACTAATAAAATACATCATTGATCGAGAACTTCTGTTTCCAACTACAGAACTTACAGACTTCAATACCATTTTGCCCACAGGTACAAATCGTCATTGGGTGGGAGTCATTTGGTCGAACTGACACATTTTTGTTTTCGACATCAGCCTTACTGAAGCATTTACAGTTCATCATCCCAAACCAAAAATCCCATCCAAAAGGGCATATATTCCACATGTGCTCTTGACAAATAATGAAAACTACCCCTGAAAAAAGTGATGCACATTAGTGACCAGGGTATTCTATGTCCATAGAATCGGAGTAAGATGACAAAGTTCACAAGTGTATATCAAATACTGTTTGGTATGGGATTCTAAGCACTTCTCTAGGCAACCTCATCCAGTTGCATTTTTCCTTTGATAGCATAGGTGCTCTGGTGTCTTTTGCACTTTGGAATTACATTTCGCCTGTGCTCAGTTTAAACTAGCATCTCTTTTCCTTTATGTGTAGCCATTATAGCATTTCATTCATGCAATGGACAACATATCATCACGATACACAAAATGGAGGTATCAGGAGGTACAATTCACAATATAGGACATCTGTTGAGGGAGAGAAATAAGATTCCGTTGGTCAAACTTCTCTCTAACTACCAAACTTGCCAAAGAGTCAACTATCTCATTGGGCTCCCTAAGGACATAATGAATGGACACCCAATCTCCAGCTAATCTCAAGGGAATAGAGCCTTGCCTGGCACCCACAAAATGATATTCATAAAATCACCTTCAGCTAATAATAAGAAACCACAGAAGTACTCAGAGAATGACTTCAACCTTGTTAGAAGGCTCTTGCATCCTAAGCAATATTTCCTTATCAAACCTGAAAGCACCTCAGGCCCAAACATCCTTTGTCCAAAACCCCAATTACAGAATAGAATTTCTTTCACTTTTCTCTAACACATGAGTCAGGCTGATGTTAATTTTCTAGTGCTCCATGTAGATTTGACCTCCTAGGTTCTCAAGTGTCTCTGGTAAATAATGTCAAATTTATGGGATAAATCCTACATCTCAGAGAGTTGATTAGTCAAAGCTTTCCAAAGACAAACTCCAGCTCAAAGTCCAAATTTGATTTGTGCATTCTAAGATTTGTCAACTGGTGTACACGTACATTGGATCACTGTAAAGATGTTTGGTTGTCACAAAGCTAGTATAGGTTTCAGTATGGGTTAAACAATGAAAAATGTAGATTCACTCCTAAGGTATCATGTTTCTCTATGTTCCATGTGAACTTATACGGGTGCATACTTCTTTTTCGACTTCTCAACCCATTTTCATTATTTAATACTTTGAACCATATCTGTCATATATCCCCCATCCCTAAGCTGTGATAAAGATATTGAGATACTTCGTGAAGTCAGTTAAGAACTTTTCTCGTGCTCTATCAGGAGAACGAACTTAAGCATATATTGAGTGTTGGTATGATAATGAACTTGAGCATAGGATACCTTATACAGGATACAAATGGCTTCATTTTCCTGAAAGACTTAGTTTTATATATGAAGCACCCAAATGTCTCAAAAGAATGAATTAAATGCTCAGCAGTAAAGGAAACCAACAATGGGCAGAACAAACTAGTTTTGACGCAGTTATATAAGAATGATAAATAAAAATATTAATTTTGAACTCAAGATGGCCCAAAATTTTTGAGCAACAAAATTCAACTTGAACACCACAGGTACAACTAATTTACAGCTATATACACTGAGTTTGATATTGATATAGTGAATAGCTTATCATGCTATTGCAAAATGTTTAATTAATGGTTATCAAGTGTTATTGAAATTCTAAAATTGTACAACATAGTTGCTGTGTTTGGTACAACATAGTTTCAAAGAGCAAGACAAATAATTTCCACACCTTTAGCTTCAGTTCTGCAACTTCTGTCTCATCACAGATATCCGAGACCCATGCCTACAATTATAATTTAGGACATCAACTGAGTTATGTTAATAGAATGAAACATCTCCCTGCACATAATATACACAACTAAACTATGACAAAATTCCTTAAAATGGAACTGAAGTGGAGGAAACATATTATACTGCACACAAATCAGGTCCATAAACAACCACTGCAATCTGGTGTAGAGATGTCTTTCAAGTCATAAGAGCTCGACCTCAAATCCATCGGGAAAGGTTGTCTTGTGGAGACTTTTCTTTTCCAGTTTCCCATCTGAGCTGCTTTCTGAAGTAACCGCTGCATTGGAAGTCAAAAGCTTAGTAAATCCAAGACAGCCATCTCAATATCTATTTCATAATAGCAACAAACTAGAGAATGAGATTGGTGGTATCCATGTATATGAGGTGATGCTACCTCATCATCATCCACCAGAACTCACATGAGTCTAATCTTGAAGTGTGTCCTAAAATAACCACCTAACATTATTTCTTGCCTGGTCAATAAAAATGTAGCTGTACTTTTAGCTAATTTAAAACGCACATACACATGAACATGCTATGCAGACATCAATTACCGTGGGATGTATGTTACATATGCCAAGCCTAGTTACTGGAGGGGTGCAGGAACCAGGAGCACCTAACCAAATGAAAATTTTCCATTGGTTCACGGTTTCCTACTGAAATTGCTTAGGGAGTTTCAGTTGCATAGCAAGAACACCACCCCTAGTAGGATCTTCATCAGCAAAGATTAAAGAAACCTCTTTTCCATTACTCTGATGAGTCATAATACAATGGGCACATATGACTTCCACCAAATAATTAATTTAAAGCAAGGTAACCCCAACTTACTCGTTTCGTGTTTGTTCACCAGGCTACTTACCTATTGACTCAGGTAAAAAATAAATTTGCAAAAACTTATATATGTGAATTGAAAAAGATAAGTGCGCTATACAAACCCAAGTCCAGTGACTTTGGCAAGCATGTGCTTCCTCACAAGAAAACATGCAAATTAGTGCCACAGAAACCGGGAAGATTATCCAATGTTTATAGACATCAAGAAGTGCTTCAAAAGGGGTTCCAATCTGTTTCTATTATTCTGTCCAAACTCAGAGATAAGTTAAGTAAAATTTCCATAGAGGAACTGCTGGCATCCGACTAATTCTTCAAATTTTGCAATAAACTCCTCCCCTAAGATCATAATTTGTCAAAGCTACTATCTTGCTACAAAATGAGGTTATGCAGTTGGTATATTTTCCATGAAACTGACAACAGTGTATTAAAGTAATAGCAGTTATACTTAACCAAAAAGAAGTAATAGCAGTAACATGGATCTGTCCCCTATACAATTCTGACTATTGAGGATGGTTTTTACAAAATGATACAAACAATGCAGACTTCAAAAGCCTTGGTTGTGGTGAATTTGTCACAAATTTTGGGTGGACTGATGATCGCTCCTTCGCAAGTGTGCCCACTCCTGCATTAGCCTCCCTCCACAAGTGCTTGAAGGTGACTTGTAGAGACCTCGTGATCTAAAAAAATTGGTAAAAAATGGTTCCCTATCTCCTCGGAGACTTGGAAGACTCGGAGGCCCAAGAAATAACCTTCTGGGAATCCTTTTCTACAGAGAGAGTGTGACCCCAGCCATTATCTAAGAATTTGATTCCTTCTAATAAGGCATGCCAAGGGGAACCAAGGATCTCATTGGCTTACCCTTGTTCCTTGCACTTTATTAAAAATTGATAAACTTCCAACATTCTCCAACTTGGACTTTTGAGGCCTAAAACTCATAGAGAATTCTCTCATACTCTCAAGCTCTCATATACTCAATATCGATATCATATAAGCATACTCATAATTATAATAACAGTACTCAAGAAAAAAAAAATCGCTCTTGTGCATGTTTCATGAACACATTGGCAGCCAAACCCTTAGTCAAGGGTCAGCAATCCTCAAACTAATTTCTCACATGATAATATTCAGTCCTTATGTCTCTAGGCCTACTATGAAACCTAGGCCCTTTTGTCTTTGAAATGGCAGCTTGATTGTCACGCATGATTCTTATGGTTCCATGTCTTAGTGAGGTATGGTGAAGTTGGTTACGAAATTTCTTTATCCATATGGCTTCCTTAGATGCTAAACATAATTGCATATACTCAGCTTCCATAGTCGATAAAGCCACTAAATTGTGCTTCGTAGAATGCCAAGATACGATGCCACCTCCATACATAAAAAGATAACCGGAAGTTGATTTTAGGTCATCCGGATCTTCTTGAAAATCGGAGTTGGAATAGCCCAAGACACTCAATTCATTCACATCCTCATAGGTCAAGGCATAATCAATTATCCCCTTTAAATATCTCATAATTCTCTTAACTGCTTTCCAATGCTCCATCCTGGGATCACTTTGAAAGCGCTCTATTAAGCTTTGGGCAAAAGCTAGATCGAGCCTTGTTCCCATGGTTACATACATTAGAGAGCCCACGGCAATCCTATATGGCATCTTTTCCATTTATTTTTTCTCATAGTCATTTCTTGGGCTCATATTGACACTTAATTTTCCTCTTCTGTCAATGGGTGTATCAATGGGCTTGCGCTCACTCATTCCAAACCTTTCAAGTATCTTTTTACAATATGTGGATTGAGATAATCGACATTATTTTTTATTCCCATCACATGATGCTTCTCCCAAATCTTTCATGTCAAATTTCTCGGATAACAAGGCCTTCATTTCCCTTATTTGGCTTAAGGTGCTACTAGGTATTAGAATATCATCCACTATAAGGTCATGAATGTGATGCCACTCCCACTGGCCTTAACATATATACAATGATCCTCCTCATTTGACTTAAAGCTATTTCTAATCAAGGTTTGGTGAAATTTAAGAAACCATCTCCAAGAGGCTTGTTTGAGACCATACAAGGACTTATTGAGTTTATACACTAGTTTATCCTTCCCTTTTACCTTGAATCCCTCAAGTTGGTTCATGTAAATTTCCTCTTCTAAGTCATCAATTACACCAATTAAAAAAACAGTTTGATATCCAATGGATCCAACCTAGGTCAAGGAAGGTGGTACCGGACAAGATCATCTTAATAGAGGGCGTTTTGGCAACCTGTGGTTAGGTATCATAATAATCTACTCCTTCCTTTGGGTGAACCCTTTAGCCACTAATCTCATCTTAAACTTCTCAATTTGGCCTCGGAGTTTAGTTTCTTTTTGAATACCCACTTAACCCCATTGCCTTTCGGTAAGGTGGTAGATGGACTAACTCCCATATATGGTTTTTAATGACGGAACTCATTTCATGATATGTGTAGAGTTCATGCTCGTGTTCCTCAATAATTCTCTCGTAAGTTTTTCCAAGATAAGTAAAGAACTCGGGTGGTCTTCTCACTCTTTCACTCCTCTTAAGTGGTTGTGGCTCAATCTCCTTATTTAGCTCAAGTTCATGGAAATCCACAAGAGAGGAATTGCATTCATAAAAGGTATGTGACATCTATCTAATCTGTTATTTTTGTGTTTTGATGCAGGGAGAAATGGTAGGGAATTGAATCCACCGATCTCCTGAATCTTAAACAAGTAAAATCAACAAGAAGAGAGAAAGAACATGGCTGTAAATCAAGCCAAGGGAAGAAGACTTTCTTCTTTCATAAAATAAAATTTATTCCAAATAACATATCCCTCAAACTATGACATCTAACCTTTTATAAACCTATGAAACCCTAATTTAACTTGAGATTCAAGTAAATATTTAATACTCTAAAATATCTCTAAAACAATACCAAAATTCCAAAAAAGCCCTATGAACAGTAACCCGTTAATAGTAATGCGTGAACAGTAACACGTGAATGGTAACATGTGAACAATAACTATGAACAGTACCATGAATAGTACTTGTGAATAGAAAATAAAAAAATAAAAACCCTAGAAATATATCCTAAAAACTAAAACTACAATATAAATCATTGAAATTGAATAAAAATACAAAATAAGAAGACTTTTTCCCTCCATCATTCTCCCCTTGTTGGAGAAAACTCGTCCTCGATTTTTGAAGTGTGTTAAGATGAACTCAACATCAAAACCACCTTCTTTGACCTTCTTTTTCTTTGTCGGCTCAAATATTATTCGCAAGAAAAATTCCTCAAGAAATGGGTCTTGATATGGATAATGAGGAATCCATGCAAATTTATCAAATTCAGTTATTTGTGAATTCCCATCGGAAATCATGTAAGATACTCCAAACTCAATTTTTTGGCCTTTGGAGGTTTTCTCAACATCGAGTTGATCACTCTCTAAAATCAGGGCCACAATTTACATAGTCTGAGTCGACCACACTTCCACTGCGCTACTCTGATTCCAGTGCCCTAAATATCTTAAATGTTCCAGATCTTCATCTTTTTTTTCGTCAAAGATTGGTTCACCCATAAAATCTTGATCACTATCAGAGATTAGATCTCTTTCAAAATCATGTACATCATCTAAGTATGTATTGAAAATTGGTGGCAGATCCCAATCTACAACCTTCTGACTTTCGACATGACGTACAGCAAGATCAACCTCGTTCTCCTTCAAATCATGTAGATCAACTAAACCCCATGATTTATTCTCCCGAACATGAGGCTCCCAACACAGAACACGTGCATAGAACAGGTGGTTGAAGGCAGCTTCGTCATTCCGCTCCAACTTTGAATCGGACTCTGATTTGCGCCACTCTCCATAAAAACTCTCACGATTTGGATCTATCCATGTAGATTCCTTTGCGTTTAGGGCACACTGTTGCTGGCACCGCTTACGCAGCAATAGCTCTTAAACCTTCTTCGTCAAGTTGTTGATTTCCTTGCGCAAAGTATCCCTACAGCTAAGACCTCCACAACAAGCCATCGCAATATCTAGCCGTCCTCGAACCATGCTCTGATACCACTTGATGCAGGGAGAAAATATAAAGAATTGAATCCATCGTTCTCCCGAATCTTAAACAAGTAAAATCAGCAAGAAGAGAGAAAGAACATGGTTATAAATCAAGCCAAGAGAAGAAGACTTTCGTCTTTCATGAAGTAAAATTTATTCCAAATAACATCTCCTTCAAACTACGACATCCAACCTTTTATAAATCTATGATCCCTAATTTAACTTGAGATTCCAGTAAATATTTAATAATCTAAAATAACCCTAAAACAATACCAAAATTTTAAAAATGCCCCTATAAACAGTAATGTGTAAATAGTAACGTGTGAGCAGTAGCAAGTGAACAGTAAATCATGAACAGTAATGTGTGAGTAGTAACACGTGAACAGTAACTATGAACAATACCATGAATACTACTTGTGAATAGTAAATAAAAAAATAAAAAGTCTAGAAATCTTAAAAACCCTAAAAATGAATCTTAAAAGTAAAACTACAATATACATCATTGAAATTGAATAAAAATACAAAATAAGAAGACTTTTGCCTCCCATCATGTTTCCACTGCTCTGGGGATTCACCAAGGAATCCTACACAAGGGTCGCTATGGTGAGGGTTTTGGTTTCATCTTAGCAGCCACATGTGCATTGAGACCTGAGCAAATCTCAGGATTGCATTGGGCTAGGTTCTATTTCCTTCGGACACATGGGAGGATTGGTTGAACCATACTTGCGGTAACCTTGGGAGCTAAGCAATAGTCCCAACTTAGGAACTCGATCCCGCGGTTCCTCGAAGGGATCTTAGATAGAGCTGGGTTTAGAGAAATAGGGATCTCGCTCCCTATAAAATGGATCTGGGTCTACATGCATGTAAGATCTCTTCAAGGAGAGGAGCTATACTATTAATTGAACAAGTGGTCCTCTCCTTGATATTATAGGTTTATTGTGGTGCATATCACATCGTGGTATACTAGAACTATAAAACTATGGTATTAAAAAAACTACAGTTTAATATCATAGCAGCCCATTTATGATATTATTAAACTATGTTATTGTAGTAAATTGGAGTATAATAGCTATGGTAGTGGTAATAAGCTAAGGTGTAAGATAATGGATTGAGCGGGCATGGATTGGATCTTAATTTTATCATATAATATTAATTTATCACGTTTTATGTATAGTGGAGCTTAGATCCCTCTGCGTGAAAACCTTGATCCCAGTGACATATGGGATCTTGCTCCCAGGTATGCTAGGATCTAGCTCTTTAAGTTGTTGAATGGGCGCCGATCCTAACCCCAGGAAGCTTCCACCCTGTGGCGGTTCGGCGTTCCCTGAACCGATCGTGCTCCCAAACCCACTCCTGCCTCCAACAATTGCCACTGTCCATTGCATAGTTAGTGGTGTGGGAATGATCCCCTCATCCATGTGGTTGTTGGATTGGATGACAACCAGTTGGTAATGCGGGGAGGGAAACCCATGGATAGCTGAGGAGCCTGTTAATGATATTTCAAAATTTGAATTAGACAATCAGGATTTAGGGGGCTAGGGAAGTGGGGAGAGAGTGGCATGTGGCCTGCTAGCTGTTCGGCATTGCAGGGATGTATTGGGCAAAGGGCAGCTGTCAGAGCATGGCTAGCCACTAGATTTGAGCAAGGTGGGCTAGATGGTGGGGTATGGCCCTAGGGTACCTCACAACGGGAGGAGCGGAAGCATGGGTAAGATGTACTAGAGTGGGGGCAATTGTAGTACCAAGGACAAGAAGGTTCGACAAATGATAGGTGGACAGTAAGCATCTACTCATTTAGGGAGCCCCATGGGTTGAGGAACTTAAATTGGAATTTCCATTTGAATTTGAATTCGAATTTGGAACCATTATTTCTCAAAAAGAATTTGGAACCATTTGGTGTGGGTAAAAGAAAAGTATCTCTCTAGAATCAGAACTAGGTACAAAATCATAGATACTTCATCATCACCACCACCATCATCATCATCATCAGAGCCTTTTCCCAACTAAATGAAATTCACATATACTTCTAGGCAAAAAATTGTTATAACAAATATCCATGAACACTAGAGAATCCGTACATTACACAAAACCCAATGCATATATGTATTCATAACTACAGATTTGAAGACTCACAATCAGATGCTACAGCCAATACAGTCTTGGAAGCCTTGATATATGGGACAAGTGGTACTTTTCTATTCACTGGTGAAGGAAAAACTCTATGTCGATGACTAAATGAGGATCTGCACGAAACAACCCTGAATATCTTAACCGCATCTGATGTGTCACAAAATGACTGAGCATGCGCAATAGTTGCCCCAGAAACTGTTATTCAACAATAATAACAGAGGAGGGTCAGTTCTACATGAAAAATTGCATCAAGAATAAAAGAGGAAAGAAGAAGACCATATCAGGACATGAATTTAGGAAAATCATAAAATAGACATCACATGCCATACTCACAAATTTATATACCAATGTTAGTCACCAGACCTTACACAGAGTAAAGATAATTCCTTTCTTTGAAAAAGCCATGATACAGGTGAGCATCAATATTTAAATTTGTGTAAATTTTATAATGGTTATCACAAAAGATTCTAAAATTTCCTGGTTTTAACTAACCCATGATGAATGTTAGCATGGTCAATTACATTCACTCTACGAATTTTGCAGTGGCTCATAACAAATTCATAGCTTAAGATTGATGTAAGGGCTCGAAGTAAAGTCTATCCGAAATGATACCTCCACAAGTCTCTTTAAAAACATCTTTCAAACAATTCAAGCTTTATATGCTTATATTAGTCTCACATTAAATCTATAACTCACGAAGTCATCATCATCCGAGGCTCTATAAGTATCTTTTAACATCTTCCAAACAATTAAAGCTTTATATACTTGTGTTAGTATCACATTAAACTTTATAACTCACGAAGTCATCATCATCCGAGCCTTATTCCACATTATACTATAAAACTCATGAGAGTTATATAGTATCATACATAAAGATACTTCTTATTCAGAAAACTCAGCAACAGACATTCATTTTATAGTTATGAGATTCCCATCGCACAAAACAAAACTGGTAAATATTACAACAATTCAAAAACCATAAAAGTAAACTACAAGAGCTGAAGTTTTGTCAGAATTCCCTTAATGGTGGGAAGCTATGTTTCACAGGCACAGATGCACGTCCACTTCAAACAGAAACACGCTGTGTCTGACATGGATCCTCATAAAGTGGTATATGGGGCACAAGTGCCTGCACAAGTCTATACAAATACCTAAGTATTCATATATATTTATAAGGGATATATATGAAATTAATTTGTAACATTTAGTTATAAAATTGACTGAAAATGAAGACACATGTGTCCAAATCATAGACAAACAAGTAAATTATTCTAACAACCAGGACACTATAACTAAATTCCTCCTTCATAATTGCATTAGAAATTTAATATCAGAAGTTCCAATCCTTTCGGTAAAATACACTCCCAAGGATTGTTCTTAATCATCGATGCACAACTTTGCAAACATATATCACAGAAATTTATGCATATCAATTTGGAAATTGACTGTTGGAAATCCTAGTGAGTAGATTCCTTAGAGAAAGGTGTAAGAGATAGCTAATCAATATATTCAGCAGAATCAAACAAGTCAAAAACTGTGATTACCTAGGATTAGTAGCCAAACAGTCAGAAGAACTTACCGAATTTAGCTACAAAACAATGAAAAAGAGACCCGAATTCAAAAATGCATAAGCACGTTCTTTGTGTATGATGTCTCAATCAACATTTTCATACAATTTAAAATTTCCTAATTTTTCCATCCTGATTTTTACAACTTTGTTAGATGCATGATAAGCAAATGACAATCAAATAATATACAAATACATACGCACATGCGACGCGCTCAGACACACAAACATCATCATTGAAATGCACCTCAAGAAAATAAGCACACATATCCCACTGACACAATTAAACAAATAAGCCCACTAAACTACTCAATACTCATCAAAACTGCATAGAGAGAATGTTGAATTTTTTATAGGTATGTATTAAATATTGAAAAGAACAAAAGAAAGGAAAAAAAAAAGGTCTCTGGTTTTGGACTCTAATTATCAGATAGTGTAAAAGAACATCGGTGAAAGCAAAATCTTGGTAATTTTGTATAAAGTGTAAAAACAGAGAAAGGGGAAAAAGATGAGAAACTACAACAAAATCATCATCATTTTACTTTTATATACTGATTATAACCAGGAAAAGTTAAAATCTTGATAATTTTCAAAAAAGAAAGAAAAGAAACTAAACTAGAATTAAATCCCAGGCATTTATCTCCTAATCACTGCTATAGTGCATACTATAAAACGCACTCTTGGGTAAGAAAAATGTCCAAACAAAGAAATGAAAAATAAAATATAGGAAACTGCAACAAAATCTCAGTCATTTCATTACTAATTCATTCTTATGAAAACAAATATGGAGCTCCAAACAATTCTTCAGAATTTTCAAATTAATTTTACTCGTAATACTACACAAAATGTGAATCTAAAAAACGTGCGCGATTTCAGGTAACAAAAATATCATAAGAACACGCGCGATTTCATTCGCAATAAACTAGAAATGAAATTTGAGTTTATTTTCACATCAAATGAAGTAGAGAGAAAAGAGAAGAAAAACTTAGATTATTTAAGCACAGGCCACGTCTCACACACAAAAAACGTCGAAAGAGGAATAGAATGAAAATGGGAAGTTACCGTGAATTGAACGGAGAGTTGCTGCAGCCTCCATTTTGCGACTGGTTGAATCAATGGAGAGAGGAAATTTTTAGAGAGAAGAGAAAGAGAGAGAGAGATTACGAGATGAACGAAAATTAAGTAGCTCGATTTATAGACTGGTGCATCGAAGATGCAGGAAAAAAAGAGGGAAAAAAAGCACCTCGACATTATATCGAATGTCCAAACCATCCTCTTCGAAATTTCATCCATTAAAACAAATGCGTGGTTTATGTAAGTTCGCAACTTTAAACAATCCAATTAAGGCGCACCTCCAAATTTTAAGGCGCACCTCCAAATTTTATCATTAGATGTAGTTTTGGCATAAAAAATTCACAGGAATATCTGAAAATTATTTTCATATCTAATTATAAATTTTTAAACTCAAAAATGGTTAAAATCAAATTGATTTATAAACATATAAAAAACTTGAAAATGAACGGCGTAAAAAATTCATAGGAATATCTAAAAAATTATTTTCATCTCTAATTATAAATTTTTAAACCCCAAAAATGGTTAAAATGAAATTGATTTATAAACATATGAAAAACTTGAAAATGAACGGTCTAGATAATGTGCGGCAAGATGTCCTATTTTTGAGACTCGAAATCTTTCTTTCTTTTTTTCATAATCATACATCTCGATGTCGAGATGATCAATTAGAGGGTTTTTTAACATTAAAACGGCCATCAACCTTAAACAATCTAAATAAGGTGCACCACTAAATTTTATCATAAATGCAATTTTGATATAAATATTCTTAAGAAGGCTTGAGAATCTATTTTTATCTTTAATAATAAACTTTTAAACTCTAAATATCGTTCAAATCAAGTAGATCTAAGAACATAAGAAAATATTGAAATTAGACGGTCCAAGTAATGTGTTGCAAGATACACTATTTCACGGATTCAAAATCTTTTTTCTTTTCATATTCATATACCTTGCTGTCGAGATGATCAATTAGAGGGTTTTCCAACATCCAAACAACCTTTTATGTTGGATTTTTTAGGTGCATCTTTGATTCGAAAGGTTTCTAAATGTTCATAGAAAATATGTAAGACTTGAAGAAAGAGAGAGGATGATGTCCCTCTCTTTAGAAATATGTAAGACTTGAGATTAAGAAAGAGATAGAAATATATAAGACTTGAGATTAAAAAAGAGATAGAAATATGTAAGACTTGAGATTAAGAAAGAGATAGAAATACGTAAGGCTTGAGATTAAGAAAAAGAGAGGATGATATCTCTCTCTCTAAAAATCATTTAGACATGAGATCGCATCAAATACGATGTTAACTTTACATTTGCGTCCCCTGATGCATCACATATAGAAAATATATGTAATCCCACATTGAAGTAAACTTGATACTCAATTTTTTTTAAAAAAAATATTATTTTTAATTTAAATATAATATCTTACATAATAATGCTCCCCATATTAGAGATTAGACGTTCATAAAAAAATTAAGTTACAATCCATCTCAAATATAGAAAGAGGACGCATAACTAGACGTGAGTCAGCCGACTCATAAACTCCATGTCTTTTGTTTTTTTTTTTTTTTGGGAACGGACTCATAAACTCCATGTTCTAAAATAAGAGCCCTCCATGTCTCATAGCTTAACTTTATCCTTGGGATTGTGGTCGAAAATTTAATTTCTTCTAATTGATTCATTGAGTTGTTGGATTAGAGTTGAAATCTTTAAATGGATGCTAATGTCATTTCAACGCAAAATTGGGCATTTGGTGGTAATTCAATATTAATTTGGTAGATGCAACCTTCGTAGTGTCCGCCCGCTCCTAAGTTTCTCCACCCTTACTGGCTAAAGCTATAAACCCCATCTATGTTTTCCACGATCTTCCTGCACAAAGCAAAAAATTGTAGGATTTCCCAAACGTAGTCCCGTCCGAGCACATTATACGCTTACTCCCTTGGCAGCAGGCATATCAAGTAGTTTGTTTTCATTAAGATTTTGGGATCTAATTTAGAATTTTTAAATCATCATCATCGTAGCTTTTTTCCATTTGTTGGGGATGGCTACACAAATTATGATCCATCATTTTATTTTGTTTTATTTAAAGGTCATAACCTAGCGAGATCATAAATCTAATTTAGAAATTCTAAATTAGTAATAAAAAATATAATGATTTTTTTTGTTTTGGGTAATTAATAAGAGAAGACAAACCCTTACCTATTTTTTTAAATCATTTTACAAGTTATATTTTTTAAAGTTTTAGCAGAGTAATGGATTGAAAACCACATTGTGGTGACGGAGTTGTGGGGCGTACCCCCACAACCCGATACCTTTTCAATCGTTTGGTTAAGAAGGTTACACGCCTAAACGTTGGAGTCATGAAAGTACTAATTACTCCTAATAAGGCTTTACCTGATGGAGTGGATATATGCCATGCTCCCACCGTGTGCGTGAGAAAGAGGGGCTAACCGAGACTATCTTAAGCGGATAAGTGGTCTGGGATGTGGCCCGGTTCGGCATGTCTCGGGCCTACAGCTGGATAATTAAGTCCAAGACATTATCACACAGCCCAACAGATCCAACTAGCCATAATCATTCTGTACGTTTTTAGTGTACCACATTTAATTTCGGCCACATTGGCTAGCATGTTATTTTATTGGCTAGTTGCCTCAGGTAGGATAAATCCCAAAATGGACAAACAAAACATAGATCGTGACTTTCAACTAATTTGATTAGACCACCACCGTTGGATTTAGTGTGTCTTCTAATACCATTGGTAGGGAGCGGGCAGCGAGAATCGAACCCGCATCGTTAGCTTGGAAGGTTATGGTTATAATCGATTTTAATTCATTATTTTAAAACCGAACATGAAACTTTGGTGTGCTTAAGACTGGTGAACAGGCACATTATTGGAAAGCTAATCTCATTGCTGATATGACTTTTTGGTTATATAAACCCCCTCCAATTCAAATTCAGGAAAGATTGGAGCTCTTAAATTTAGAGTCTGCTAGTCTTTAGTCTTCTAGACCTTAGAAACCCTAGATCATTAAACACTAACCCCCTGCAGCTACACTAGCCTTGAAACCTTGAAACCAAGAGCTTTATGAAAACCATGTCCTGAGCAATCAAAAACTTAAGAAGAACATCAAAATTCCCTAAGTTCAAGAAAATTTATATGGAGCAAGCAAATCTCTGTAGGGTGGGGGGACGAAAATGCTTCAACTGCTAGTTTAATAGGGGCCCACCAACTCAGGTGCCGGGCCTGCAAGATTCGCTTCCAAGTAACTAGTTCTTTTTTAAAAAAAATTGAATTCTTTTCTTTCTGTTCCTTTCGAGTTTTTTTGGTTTTTTGTTTAATTTTATGTGATCTCAAGCCGACTTCTTTCGAGTTTTTTTGGTTTTTTGTTTAATTTTATGTGATCTCAAGCCGACTTCGGTGTATGAGGCAAAGTTCTATTGTGAACTTACTTTACTATATATTGTAATTTGACGGAACCCGCATTTATCGATCGTACTTTTAAATTGTTGTTTAGTTAAAAGCATAAATAAGAGGGTATTTCCTTAGAAATTCTGAGATTTGGCTGTAAACAAATAAACAATCTGTTGCTTGAAATTTTTTTTATTTCTTTTCAAGACTCATATTTACAAGAAATTTGAAGGCTATGTACACCTCACTGGGACACATTTATAAATAATAATTTGAGCAAAATAAGAAATCCTAAAATTTATAAGGTTATCTTATGTTTTTTGAAATATTTTTTTAATATCTTTTAGAGGTGCGCGAGGGATGGAAGAATGGTAGTCCCAAATTTCAGTATATTTCCATATACATAAAAATAAAATTCAAATACTTAAACATGCTTTCAAACATTAGATGAAGATCGTACAATTGAGATTGATTCAGTGAACTACAATGTGGATTGTTTAGTCATTTTAAGTTCATTCATTTTTTAATTTTTTTTTCTGGGGTGCACCTCATTCAGGCATCTATATAGGATATAACAGTATTTCAAGTAAAATAAAATAGCCAAAATAGTCATGACAGCCATTTTATGTTTAACAATTTTTTTTTTATATATTTTATACAATTCCACGGGGTTGAGAAGTACTAAAAGTTTAATTTAATTATACAAGATGAAGTTTTTAAAAGGCCTAGGCTTTATGAAAACAAAAAAAAAGCCTCACCTCAAATCCTTATATGGAAAGAACTTTTGGCAACGGAAAACTCCATGATGGCTCTAAAATCAATTTTCAACTTCAACAATAAAATTTGAAACTAAAAAAATTGTACAAATCTTGTGAATCCATGAACACTTATTTTTAGGGCGAAATGGACGGCATAGATAATTTGTTGTAATATACACTATTTTTAGATCTTCAAAACCAAATTCTTTTTCATAAATATAATGTCCAAGCCAAGATGATCAATGTAAAGGTTTTTTAATGCTTGAATTGTAGTTTTCAATGAGTTATGAGGTTAGGCTTTGCTTATTTTGATAAGGCTGCAGCCCTATCAAACTATTTTCCAATTATATATAACGCAAAAATAAAATTAAAATACTCATGCATACTCTCAGCCATCTATTTGTGGTGACCTATAACCACATTCTCCATGCGTGGGTGTGTATGTATGATTAAACCTTCCAATTTGTTAGGGGTGCAGTTTGCATACTGACCCATCTGTAGGAGTAGATGCAAGGTGCACCTTCTATCATGGTATATAATTTAGATGTAAAATGTTTTTAGGATTATCTCAAAAACTATTTTTATATCTAATTATAAAATTTAAATTTAAAAAAGGTTAAAATTAAGTAGATCTATAAACATATGAAAATCTTGGAAATGGATGGTGTAGATAATATGTTGTAAAATGCACTATTTCTGAGACTTAAAATCAGTTTATTTTTCATAGTGATACATCTCGATATCGAGATGATTAATCAAAGGGTTTTTCAATATTAAAACTACATTTTCGGATAGATTTTTTAGGAGCATCCGTTCTACATTATAAGGTAGCATCTTTATATTAACTTTTTCCATTTGTTAGACTTATCATGTGCGTGCAATAGTTTCAAAATCTCGTTCAATTAACAAAATATCAACCTTTCATTATTGATAACTTCAATG